TAAATGGTCTTATTTCATATAGCCTATAACATTTATTTAATAAATATTGGCTGATCAATGCAGGGAATTCTTATGAAACATGGGTATCCTCGGCTCACAGATTCACAGCCATTACCATACACACACACACACACACCACACACACACACACACACACACACACACACACAAACACACACAATGATGCAATTAAAGATAAAAACAAATCAGCATGAAAATCAGCAAGTACATCTACAAGATCATCAACAATAAAACCTTCTTTTGCTCTCCTGAAATTATAAATTAAAAATGGAAACCATCTACATTTGTGCCATGGATGACTTGATACTGTAACAGGAAGCTTGAAAGAAAGAATTGAACACAACACAACAAAACAAACCAAAAACGACAGCAGCCAGGATTCAATTCATAAGGGTTTTATAAACCAAAACCAATAACATGAATTATTCTTGGACATGAATGTACAATCACAAGCCAGTCTTAGAGCATGAGTATCAAATTCAACATATGGCAAATTTGTTCAAGCATATGGTACACTCATCAGTATTTGTAGAAAGTTTCTCCTCTCTCTTTCATTTTTTTCCCATGGGAGAGAGTGTTTTCGGGGTTAACAAAGTAGTGGGAACTTGACACAGATGATTATACTTGCCTGTTCAAACTAAACTACTAGCAAGTATAGACTGGAACATAATTCTAGGTTCCACAGAAAAAAAATCAATTTCTATGGTGTTCAGAAGCAAGAACATAATAGATTCAAGAATATCCTAACATTTATTTTTCTTAAATACCATATATTACGTTTCCATTGGGTTATCAGGATTCCAAGAATAGTTTCCTTCTAAAACAAAGGTTAATCTGGATTCCACAGGGAACCAGCAGTTAGAGTAATGGCTATGTCGCTGGACTCTCACGTAGTCGACCACAGTTCACGTCCCGGACCTGGTGGTTTAGAACTCACACCATGCACGTGTGCGTGTGTGCCCAAGATCCCGAGAGGAGAATGGAGGAGAAGGGATTGCGGCGTGACCATCCCCCCTGGGGAGTGATTTCTCGCTTTCTGTCTCTCTGTCTGGCGAGCGCATGCGCCCTATAGCGAAAACTTCTCAAAAAAAAAAAAATCTGGGTTCCACAGAAGCACAGGGACTCCATAGAAAGGATTTTGAATGGAAAAAACAATAATGTAACTGAAATTTATATTTTTCTTTTATTATGATTAAGTAATAAAACACAGTAATATTAGCAGTAACTATGATTTTTCTTTTTACCTCTAGAAGTCAAGGATATTCTTATAATTATATTTGTTGCAGATCTCTTAAAATATCCTTTATGGTTATAATAATTTCAAAATTGCTGTAGTTAGTAGATTTGCCAATAGGTATTATTCTGAAAGCATTATTGCATACTGCATGCATGCTTTGAAAAACCATATTGTACATCATAAAGATGTATGACAATTAAAAGTAAATAAGAAATTATAAAATAAAATACAATTTCATTTTTAAAATTTGAGTACATTTTACATTCAATCATTTTACATCTTTACTGCATATAAAATGATTTTCCCAGCATGAATACACTATGTACTTTGTATTAGTCCAGTCAAAGTTATTACCATTCACATTATGATTATCAGATAATTTTTTCATTTTTGTTTCTGTTAAATGTTTTGCTTTTTCTTCCACTTGACTCCCTCTCTCTTACCTCCCCTCTACTGCCCATCCTCCCACACCGTCTCTAGTATCTACAGTTGTTCTCCACGATTTTACCCCTTTCCAATCTTTCCATTTCTGCCATGGAGTGCAGACATTCTGTATATATTAAATGAAGACATACACTGCCTCTCTTTTATAGCCTGGCTTGCTTTGCTTAGCATTAAATCTTCAATATTCATCCACTTTCTGTCAAATGCCAGGGTCTCAAATTCTTTTTATAGCTAAGTAGTATTCTGTAGTAATATATGTGCCACACTTTTTCAAACCTTTCATCTGTTCTTGGACATTTTGGTTGATTCTATGTCTTACCAGCTATGAAAAATGTCACAATAAACAGGGATATGCAAGTGTTTTTATGACCGAGTATATTCTCATCCTTTGGGTAGATAATTAGGAGGAGAACTGCAGGATAAATATTTGCAGACGTATCCCTGCCATTTTGTTAGCCATGTTTTTGTTGTTGTTGTTCTGTTATTTGTGTTTTTCTCTCTTTAGTTTTCCTGATATAGTACTCCTTTTAGTACTTCTTGAAAAGCTTGTCTAGTAATGGTGAATTATTACAGTTTTTACTGATCTGAGAATGGTTTTATTTGTTCTTCACATTTGAAGAGTAATCTTCACAGGTATAGTATTTTTGGTTGAAACCATTTTTCTTTTACCATTTTGAGTATGTCTTCCAATTCTTTCCTCACTTGCATTGTTTCACTTAAGAGGTCTGATGTTAGCCTAATGGGATAATTTTTGTAAGTAACTTGACCTCTCTCTCTTGCCATTTTTAGAATCTTGTCTTTGCTTTAATTCTGACCAGTCTGGCTATGAGGTACCATGGGGAGGATTTTCATAGGTTGAATTTGATTTGAGGTCCTTTGTATTTGGGTCTCAATGTCTGAATGTTTTTCTATGACATTATCAGTTCTTAACCTTCTGAAGTACCTATTATTCAGATATTTGGGCACTTAATGGTATCTAGTATTTCTTGTATGTTGTCTTAATTTTGTTGTTGTTATTTTTTTCATTCATTTTGGTGGTTTTTCTCTAAGTCAGAGACTTTGTCTCCCAGTCAGAGATCCTATATTCTGTACAGTCTAATCTGCTATAAATACTTTCAAGGGAGGTTTTGATTTCCTGTATTACATTTTTCTTTCCTGGAAGTTCTGTTTCATTCTTTTTTTATGAAATCTATCTCTTTATGAAATTCTTCCTTCAAGTCTTGAAATTATTTTCTCATCTCCTGAAGTTGGTTGTCTGTTTTCCCTTGCATCTCATTGAGTTCAGTTACAATAAATATTCTAAATGCTTTTTCTGACATTTTTGGTGATTTCCCCTGCTTTTTCCATTGTTGAAGATGAGTTATTTTCTTTCCTTGGGGAGACATTTCCTGGATTTCTCATCTTTCTTTAGGATCTGCCGTGATTTTTAGTCATCTGGTGATGTACTCACTTCTTTCTTCTTCTGAAAAAATTTCTGTAGCTGCATGAACCTGGGCTTCCCTTTGGTCTGAATTAGCTACATGCCTAATTTCCTCTTCTATTATGGCAGTGTGCAATCCACAGTGGGAGTTTGGGGTTAAAAATCACACAGGTGGTTTCTCTCCCCTTTTGCTAATGTGATTGTGGAAGAGAACTCTTCCAGAGCCTCACAGTGTTCCCGTATCTAGCTTCTATATACCTTGTACATCACTGTGTGGCAGGGGATTATCCTGAGAAATGAAAATGTAGGGGTGGTATAACAAACAAAACAGGTCCTGGTCCCAGACTCTAACTGGGCAGGGGGCCTGAATGAAGGGCTGCCTCCATTTGAGCCTGTTTTCTCTCTGTCTTTTCTTGTGCTGTGGCTGCAAGAATGGAAATGTGTTGATCTTAAGTAAAATACAAGTTTTTGAAAAAGGTACTGCAGAAACCAGCAGTTGACGTAATGGCTATGTCGTTGAATTCCCATGTAGTTGACTGCAGTTCGAGTCCCAGACCCAGTGGCTTAAACTCACACTGGGCGCATGTGCATGTGTACCCAAGATCCCAAGAGGAGAATGGGGGAGAAGGGATTGCGGCGTGGCCATGCCCCCTGGGGCATGATTTCTTGCTTTCTTTCTCTCTGTCTCTCTCTGTCTTTCTGGCAAGTGCACACGCCCTATAGGAAAAACCTCTCAAAAAAAAAAATGGTACTGTAAGGAAATCTGAGCAAAAATTTAAAAAGACATATGTACCTTTATATCATATATGTAATAGCTGATAAATGTATTTTAAATGGTTCCCTTGTAATCCTATGTATTTCATTAAATGTATTTAATAAAGTTATTTTAGATTATATATATGTATGTATGTGTGTGTATATATATACACACATATATATGTGTATATATATATATATATATATATACACACATACATATATGCAGACTTTTTAAAAATATTTTGAAGAATTACTTATTTAATTTTATTTCTTCTTCTTCTTCAATTTGACCAGAGAAAGAGAGAGAGAGAGAAAGCCACCAGGTCTGGGACTTGAACTGTGGACAGCCATGTAGGAGTCCAGCACCTTAACCACCATGCCACCTGCTGGCCCCACATTATCAGACTTTTAAGGAGTGCAACTTTTAAAAGGTTATGTACCCCTACTCTAAATGCCTTGAAAGTATATAAAAATATAAAAAGTACATGCAGTTGTAGGGAACAGTATCTAACAACAGTCTACATACGTACATGAATGTAATATTTGCTTAGTTTAAAACGCAAAATTTTGAAAATGATTGAAATAATACAGTTAATGCATAAAAGTTTGAAGCTTTAGCTATGTTGCCGTCATGTGTGAAATTTCCATGTATCCAGGCATATCCAAGACTTAAAAATTGCTTACAAACCATTGTCTATGTGAAGGAAAGGGGTGGAGTTAAAAGATTTGGCTCTAAAAAGTTATAACTGGGACCATTTTTACAAAAGTCTCAGTACATGCCCAACGGACCTATATATACTTACAAGAACACATCCACACGTTTATGTCCAAGTATTTTAATCCACCACCATCCAAATGTGAATATCTGGCTACTTTCACAGGAACCATTTCTGGGTCAATCCCTGAAGCAAGATTCATCTGCATTTAATTTTCACATATCCTTGACAGTTTAAAGCTATAAATTGACTTTCTAATCTTAAACTCCTATACATAAAATTGACACTTGAATCTTAAAATTCTACACTTAAAATTTATATTCTATTCTGCTGATCAGGCAGTTTGAGGTATCATGAAAATGCCAATTGACTTTAAGTGTCATTTATTTATTTTTGTGAATAGGTCGTTTGAGGAAGTTATTCTTAGCCAAAGGGTTTTTGCCCAGTTTATTCAGTAAATGTTTTTCTCCAGTTTTAGTGACCAGTGGATATGATGTCACTCAGAGACATGACATCAGTGCTTTGTATGGACAACAGTGCCCAGAAGAATTTTCTGAAGTGTCAGAATGAAGCCCCGGAGATACTGATTGAACATGATTATAAATGTCTTAGCCTGTGTTCCTTGAGAACAGAACCTGTGATAAAAGTTTATTAGGGGTTTTGAAAAGCAGAAGTACAAGTAAAATGAATCAAAAATTGAGTCAAGAAAGGGAGAAAGAAATATGAAGGGTACTGTGAGGCATATGCCAACTCTAAAGAAGGCCGAAACAGGGACAGCAGAAAGTCAGAGCTCAGAGATTTCAGCAGGCAACAAGACTGCATAAAAGAAAACTACAGTCAAGTCTATAAAGGGATGGATACTGCTTTGAGTTGACTGGCTAAGATGTAAGATACCAAGGTCCAGAGATGGGAGAACCTAGGAAAATGAGTTCCATAGAACTTCTACAACCTCTTGTTAAGTTGAGTTAGCATAATCACCGCCATGTTAGGGAATGCTGGGAAAGTTAGCTTAATCACTACCCTGTTGAGTCTTCAGGGACAGAGCCCACTTTGTTAGGGCCTCAAAGACGGGAACCAGGAGTCTGGGAACTCTCAGATAAGTGGAAAACGGGAGGGCCCAGCACCTCCGAGGCAAGGTCATCCAAATGCTTAGCTGAGAGCCCTTATCTAGACCTAAGCAGGTGGTGAGAGCTGGACCCTCGCATCTCATACCCCCCCTTTCCTTTGTGTGTTACAGTCTAGAAAACATCCTCAACTATAAAAGATCCCTTTATCTTAGGCTCGGGGTCCTGGTAAAGGCCTGCTACGACGGGCTGAGACTTGGATCCCAGCTAGCTGGAAAAATAAAAGCCTCTTTTACAGTTACATTGTCGCTGTCTTTTCTGTGTCTCCATCAGTTAGACCGATCTCTAGACCCTTACACTCTCAACCCAAAGCATGATAAATCTAAGAAAATTTTTGTATGAAGGATATTGTTTAACTGCCGAAAAGAAAATATAAAAAGGAAACATTAAAGTAGACAGATGAAAAGATAGATTACCTTCAAGTAAACAATAATTAGATTGGAAATTGAGTTTTTAACACAAAGTATGAAATTCAGGAAACAATGGAATTTGACTTTTAAGACAAGATATAGGTTCTATAACTATAAAAGTTTAGCTTAAAAAGAGAGGTGAAAGGAAGGTTTAGAGCTATACCACCTTTAGAAGAAATTTGTGTACACATACATGTGTATGTGAAGGGCTGGCTCTGCAGTGCAGCAGTTAAACACTGTACAGAGGATCCAGATCCTACAGGGTCCACCAGGGTTCAAGTTCTGGTTCCAGTCATGAAAACACACCAGATGTGCATACTCTCAGGATCCTAAGGGGATGGAGAATTGAAGAAAAAAGAATTGCAGTGTGACTAGGCCTCGTTAGAGGTGTTTTCTCTCTTTCTCTTGTGCAAGTGCATGCACCCTCTAGAATATTTTTTTTAAGTTTACTAAAAACTGGAATTAAGGTATGAGTTTTAGTGCAAAAATATTTCAAATCCCACACACAATTTTTTCTTAACCCACATTTTTCATGACCTTTTTGAAGACTCTTCATATATATATATAAAATGTGTATGTACATATAACATAAATTTTCAAACACACACAAATAGTTTACAGTTGATCCTCAATTTTCAGTGGTGTTACATCCGTAAACACGTATTTCAAAATGAAAATAGCACAAGTTGAAAATGCCTGTAATGCAACTAACCTACCAAACATTAAAACTTACCTAACCTACCTTAAAAATGCTCAGAACACTTATATTAGCCTATAGTTGGGCAAAATAATCTCACACAAAGCTTATTTAATAAGGAAGTTATAGGGCCAGCAGGTGGTATGGTGGTTAAGGTGCTGGATTCTTACAGGGCCAACCATGGTTCAAGTCCCAGACTCAGTGGCTTGAAAATACTGCTAGGTACATGTGCATTCATGCCCAAAATCCTGAGAGGAAAATGAAGAAGTGATTGCAGTGTGGCCATCCACCAGGGGGATGATTTCTCACTTTCGCTTTCTCTGTCTCTTTCTGGGGAGCACACATGACCTATGACAAAAATATTTCCAAAAATAAAGTTAAAAGAAAGAGTTTGAGATCAAAATTCAAAAGTTAAAGTTTCTATGGTTTTGATGGAGTGTGTATTACTTTTCCACCACTAGAAAGCTGAAAAATTGTAAGTTGAACCACTATAAATCAGGGACTGTATATACATATGTTTGGAAATTCATTCGATGCCTTTGGAAAGAAACATAATGCACTATGAATAATGTTTGTCTCTATAGAAAAGAACTGGGTGGACAGATAACCATAGTGGGAGGAAAATCACTGTAGAGTTGTTGAATCTTACATATTAGACCTGCTTTCCATGAATGACATTACACCTTAGTTTCCATTTTTGAAACTGGTTTGTGAGGCAACAAATTCGAGGATTGAAAGTATCAGAGAACCTGTTATCTGTTCAAGTTGTTTCTGATAATAAAGCCAATAGCTTTTAAATGAAATAAGAGACTGAAAAGTTGCTATAGATGTCAAAAGACACACTTTGAATTGCTAAATTTCTGAGACAATAGCTCTCCTTCTAAAATGGTGTGTTTTCCAATATGAAAGTCCATTATGTCTGGCCATGAGATATTTCAAAGTAAAAGTAAAGGTTGGTGTGCTCCTGCAACATAAAGCAGGATTTCCTGCGCATATTCTGGATAGGATTATTCCTTCATACTTCAATTTAAATGTTAGCAGGAGGAAAATAAAACAAAAATGAAACAAGTGTGGGAGTGTCTAGCACCTTAACCACCATGCCACCTGCTGAGCCCCAAGAAAAAAGTTTTGAGTCTGAATTATTCCTAAATATAATTATTACTATGAGAATAAAAAGGTTTTGATGATTAATACCTAACATTTTTTTGTCAAGGTTTTTGAAGTAAAGATGTTGTACTTGATCATTTAAACATCAATTAAAAAGTCACACTAAGTTTTATTCAGTGCTTGCTCTTCATCAGAAACTTATTCTAACTATCATCTATGTGCATTTCCTCATTTACTGTTAAGAACACACAGGAAGTGTCATTATTAGCAAAATTTTGCAGGTGACAGAACTTATCACTCTGAAAGTTAAGTAACTTGAGCTAATTTACATGTTTAGTAGTAAACCAGGAAATAATCACCATACTACATAACCTCAAGATAATGAGTTTTCTAGAAAGCACATCAATTTGCCAAATATTTCACCACTATATATTGTGTATTTAATTTAATTACATGAGTTTCGATTGATGGCGGTATGAAAATAAGATTAGAATGATCAGGATACACTATTGAAATTATTGAGAAAATTTTATGAAACATACCCTGATTGCTAACCAAACATATTGACTTGAGCCTTGTTTGTTTGTTGGTTTTCTATTTTCTTCACAAATTTAGTAGCCCTATGAAGATTAAGGAGTCTGTCTCCTTGTTCTCCAGAGTATCTCTACCAGAGTCTAGAATATTGTAAATATGAAATAAATATTATATGAACAAATGAGTTAAAGTGTATTTATGATTACTTCCTTAACTTATATTTTAATTTAAACTCTACATAACATTTCATACTTTTTCCTCTTCTACCACAGACATTAATAAGCTTTGCAAATGTACCATAATGGCACGTGTTTCTCAAAATTGTGTACTCTTCCATTAATCTGTATTTTCCTCCCCTTACCTACTCTTTTTTTTTCTTTCTTTTTTTTTTTTTTTTTGGAGAGGATTTTGCTATAGGGCGCATGCGCTCACCAGACAGACAGAGAGAGAGACAGAAAGCGAGGAATCACCCCCCAGGGGGGATGGTCACGCCGCAATCCCTTCTCCTCCATTCTCCTCCCGGGATCTTAGGCACGCATGCACACGCGCCCGGCGTGAGTTTAAGCCACCAGGTCTGGGACTCGAACTGCAGTTAACTACGTGGGAGTCCAGCGACATAGCCATTATGCTAACTGCTGGTCCCCTTACTTACTCTTCAGTGAGTTCCACTTTGCAATTTTCAGAATGAAGATTTTTTTTTCTTTTTTTTCTTTTATGAGAGGTTTTTGCTATAGGATGCGTGCGCTCGCCAGACAGAGAGAGAAAGAGAGATAGAAAGTGAGACATCACCCCCAAGGGGGATGGCCACACCGTAATTCCTTCTCCTCCATTCTCCTCCCGGGATCTTAGGCACGCATGCACACGCGCCCGGCGTGAGTTTAAGCCACCAGGTCTGGGACTCGAACTGCAGTTAACTACGTGGGAGTCCAGCGACATAGCCATTATGCTAACTGCTGGTCCCCAGAATGAAGATTTGCAGATTGAAATATTTACAAAAGGTAAGAGAGAATAAAAGATAGGTGAATAAATTGCCCTGATTCTGGTTCTTAAGTAACTGTGAAAGAGAGCCCACCTCCTCCCCCTTATTGGGAGAATTCACTTTATAAGCTAAGAGATGTATAGTGATTGAGTGTATAAAAGGAATTAAAATAAATAACCCCCCCTCCCTCCTGGGGCAGGGGGCACTGAAGCACCTGGGCCTCAGACCCCCAGGCACTCTTTCTCTCAATAAACTTTCCTTTTCTCTTCAAAAAAAAAAAAAAAAGAAAGAAAAAGAAATCAAAAAGGAACACATTCCAAATGTTTATCTAATAACTATGAAAACAGTGATTTTAAGTCAGGGAAGAAAGACAATTTAAATGGTAGACAAATGTATAACCCCATTGGAAGTGAGTAATCATAGCAAAGGCAACACTAATAAAAAATTACTGATTTCAATAAATAAAAATTCAGAAACATTTCATAAGAAAACAATAACAGATGTAAATGGTTAACGACAAACTGGGGAAATGTATTTGTAACATTGAACACAATAAAATCCTTAATATGAAAGGAAGTCTTATAAATCAGTATCAAAAAAGACCAACTCACAACAGAAAATGAGAAATAAAATGAACTGTAAATATGTAAAAGAATGCCTATGACCAAAACACACGTGAAAAAATTTGATCTCACCATGAATCAAAATACACAAATCAA